TGGGGGGAAAAGGAGACATGTAATTCTTTAAACAATAAAGAATTTTTTTTAAAAGATGCAATGTGATCAACTTCCTGGTAGAGCTAAGCACTGAACAGATTGGAAACACATAGCAGAGAACAGCTACTTGTGAGGGCATGTGCTGGGGGGTGGAAACGGCTGGGGAGGGGTCAATGGGGGGAAAAGGAGACATGTATTTCTTTAAACAATAAAGAATTTTTTTAAAAAGATGCAATGTGATCAACTTCCCGGTAGAGCTAAGCACTGAACAGATTGTAAACACATAGCAGAGAACAGCTACTCAACTTTCTTGGCTTGGCTCCCTTTTCCCTCCTAAATTTCAAGTCATTCTCCTCTCTCTGTGTGTCAAATGATGGGTCCCAGATTCCTTTGAGTCAATAAAATAATCACCACATGGAGTGGACTATTATTTTACCTCCCTAAAACTCTGAAAGTTCAAATTGATAAGTCTGTTACGTATCACTTTTTTAGTTACTTTACTTCCCTACCAACTTTTATAAGTAATAAAAAAACTACAAGCCTACAAATAATTTTTTATAGCAAGGAATTTAACAAATACAATATAAAGGTGCAAAACAAACAAACAAACAAAAAAACAACAACACAACACCAAATCTTTTTTTCTTAAATTTCTTACTTTACTTTTATTTTCTTTGACTTCTAGATCTTAAAATCAGAGCTTATACTTACTCTTTAAAAGCTAGTACTCATAGGCTTTGACGTTAGGGTCTCTTCTCCTCTGAAACATCATAACAGGTATGTTCTTTACTGAAACTTGTCACTTGGCTACTATGCTTATAGGAGCTGATGTTTATGAATAAACACAATTTAAGTTGCCATGGCCAATAGATCACAGGGGAGGCCTGGCTTTGGAGTTTCATCTGCCTTTTCTGAACAGATTAATGGAAGCGCCTTCCCCTGGAGTCAGAACCAGGACGTTCACACTCACCTTTATATGAACTATACTCAGGGTGACTGTATAATTTACCATCCAAATTAGGTCACTTTGCCAGTGAAGGAGGGTGCTATTAATAATTGCTAGCATTCTGGAAAAACAGGTGTAAACCAGGTCATCCGGGGTAAACCTCGATGAATGTTTATCCTGTGTATGAAAAATCGTTTATATTCATTGATTGACTTGTTAGGGGTCTGGTGCAAACACGGTGTTCCTCCAGAGGACTAGCGGCGGGGCTGTCAATCAGCTATGTCCCCATGGCAGGAGAATCGAGTTGCAAATTTTCAGAGCTGCCACTATCGATTTCTTGGCAGGTTATAAAGCTCTGCTTCTCTCTATAAAAGGCTCTAGTTAATTATTTATTTTTTATGATTAGAAATGTATTTCGGAGCACTATCTGGTGGTGCATAGGAAAAGATAGGAATGAATGTCAAATTAACTCATTTTTGTGTATTTATATTTTAAAATTATACAGAAAGATTATAGTATACTATAAATATACCAAAAATAAATAAATTTTGTATGTCTCTATTATTGTAGCCTACTTAGTGTATTCATTAGGCTACTTTCCATTAAATCTTTAGCCATTTTATAAATCAGTTTTAATAATAGTCAAGTGCTACATGTTGTTTTTCATATAACATTAATTGCATCATATGAATAAATCATAATTTACTTAAACATAGTCATAATGTTTAAAATTTGCCTGCCACAGATAAGACTGTGATAAGCAGCTTTGTATGTGATGGTTTTCTGTATCATTTATTTTATTTTATTTTTTTCCACCACCATTTATCCCCTCTAATCCTCTTCTACCTCCATCCCCCTTTTCCCCTAGATCACCTCACTGTTGCCCATGTCCATGAATTATGTATCATTTTATTAGTTTTTCCTTTATTACAAAAATAAGCTAGTTTAGATCATGAATGTAATGTTATTTGTCTCTGTATTTCAGCAAATACCACATTTGTAGTATATAATATTTCTCCATATGTGAATTACAGAATTGGATTGGATATGTACACACGTTAGATAGTCTTTCTCAACAGAGAGGGTGTGTGATTCCTTGAGATCGTTATTTTAACTTCTCGGAACTCAAAGGCAGAGACAAGGCATCATACCCATACACAATCCTAATGTACTTCAAATTACTTACCATCATTGATGCATGTGTTTATGAATTAGAAAACTCCAAATCCAACCACCCTGATTTGTATAATAAAGATAAAATGAAATTATATTGTGCAAACTTCAAAGGAAAGAGGAAACAAGTCTTCAAACTAAATCAATATTGTTTTAAATCCTGGCTATGTTATTTAATAGTGTATGTCCTTGGAAATCTATAAACCCAATTTACATCTGTAAAATAGAAATACTAATATTTTCTTCAATACATTACTCTGGAGTAAATTACATAACATGTGGAAGGAACTTAGTACATAGTTTCTGAAACATGACAGGCACTTAATGATGCATTATATGCATTCAGTAGCAGGTAATAACAGCAATACATCAATCTTTAAAATAAATAATTAGTAAATTAAAATATTCAAGAACTTAAATGTAAATGATAAGATTATGTGCGTTCAAATTATTTAAAGAAGTCCTTGAACATGTGTAGAATTTCTCAGAATATTACTTAAAATCATAATTGTTTTCCCCAAATGGTTTGAACACTCACTCATTCAACATATATAAATGCTACAAATATCTTTCAGTCTGTGAAAGACATTGAGATGTCAGATATGTTATATTAACTATTTTAGAAATGATGACAAGTACTCTTTAATCATCAAAATATTACCAATATGATATTAAAGGTAATTAATGAATAGATTGAAGATAATTCTAAAAGTTTGGAAAGGAGATGTGGAAAAGTTAACCTCAATAAATGTTTTCCTGTTATTGCCAAAAATGAGGAAAGATAGCTTTGTAATATCATTGAGGTCAATTTTCATATTACCTCTGAGCTAGCCGGGAAAAGGGGAATATAAATCACTATGAGCATGTACTTTCTGGAATACAAGGATGTTGATACTGTAAAAAATACAAATGTGTGAAAGGAAATCCTACTACTGTACCAGTAGTATATACTTTTTGAAGTTAAATATGTCACAACAATTAATATAAATGAGCACTTCAAAATTCTGTTAACTAAATGCACCCTAATAGTTTACATAGGAATAAAAATTGTATACTGTAGTAATAAACTACCCCCAAATCTCAGTGGCTTACAACACTAATTGTTTATTTCTTGTTTAGTCTATATGTTCATTGCGTGTTAACTGTGGCTCTGTCCACGGTACCTTCCCTCCCAGAGTGAAGGAATAGAGTAGCCTCTGTCATTATGGCTAGTCTGCTGGTAGAAGGACAAGAGCTATATGGTGAATCATGAACTTACATTAAGCCTCCTGCTCAGTAGTGACACATATCACATATCTTTCATTAGTCAAAGCAAATCACAGGCCACACAAGTTCAGTGAGACAGGGGTGTATAATCCTCTTGCAAGAAGGAGCATTTTAAGCCTAAGTTAGAAGTCAGTGGAGTGGAAAGTATAATTCTCTGACAGGAAGGAGAGGAGAAATATTGAGAATAATAACGCACTCCATTATCTATTGATAATGACTATCAGTAGGTTTATTGTGAAGATCAAATGAGATAGTAAATAACGTAAACTTAAGTTTTAATTTCTAATGCTAATTTATACTCATTAAGGATGAAGAGGGTGGATGTTAACTAAACTTATTTTGGTAATCATTTTTTCAATATACACATGTATTATATCATTATGTTATATACCTTCAACTTATACAATATTCTATGTCAATTATATCTGAATAAAACTGGACTTTTAAAAAAATATAAATGGTGTGTGAGCTGCATTAGATAAGATTAGATCCAAAGCAAAATAGGTCTGAATGGATAACTTGCATATTCACTATTGGACAGAAGCCAATCTTTGAAATATATGTAAATAAAAATTATAGTATGAACTTACCTGATTTTACTAGTATAAGTGTTTAGTGTTTTGACCCTTTTCACTGGAGGACTAAGGCTTACTACAGAAGGGTGTGTTAAATCCCAGATTACCTTCTTCAAACAAAGATGGAGTAACTTATGGGTAATAAAGTAAGAGTAGCCTGTTACTTATGATGAATTGTAGATAAATATCTATATTACTTCATTTTCTACCACGATTCAGAAGTAAGCTGAATTCTTAGCAGGAAGCATTAACTGGAGAGTTAGAGCTTGATTCTCAGGGTTGTGCCTGGTTAGTTCCCCACTGTTTACAGTTTTCTACTGGAAAATAGCAGTGGGCTATTTGGTCCCTGAATTCTAACTTCTAGTTCTAAAATTTGAGAGTCATTCCCCCCAAATATATGTGGAGGGTGTCACCCATGTTGGATTTGATGATACGACAACCTTTGACAAAGTTTTTGGAAAAATATCTCTCGGTTCTTCTAACTTAAAAGGAAAAAGCATAGATGTGTTCAATACTTGTTTCTTTTTACTTCAACACTTTCTTCACTCATTTTTCCTCAATTCTTCTTTGTTATGCATGCATTTTTATACATTTTATCATACTAATGTTACAACTTTACCTGTATTCATTTATCTTTTAATTTTTATTTTGGGGTGTGGTTATTTAGAGTCACCACATATAGTTGTCCAGATTGTGTCCCACACAAATCTAGGGCCACCATTCACATTTTCAGTGAATAATTTCTAAGGCCTTTAAGGACCATTGTGGGGATGGCCAATAATTATTTTATTATTGTAATATTTTATTTTAATATTGTGTTACATTTCTTGTAATAAATTTTTAACCTTTGAGTGTTATTATATTAGTAGAGTTCATATGATGAATACACTAGTCTTACTGAATATAAAATAATTCTAACACTTTTCCCCCCTCTTACTTACTATTCCCTAACAAAAGTATAATAATCTTGAACTATTTTTTTTTAAAATACCCAATTTGGTTAACTTCCTATCATCTGTTTTATTTTTGGAATTATTTAGTGTTGATAAAGCAGATGATGAAGATGATGAGGATTTAACAGTGAACAAAACCTGGGTCTTGGCACCAAAGATTCATGAAGGGGATATAACACAAATTCTCAATTCATTGCTGCAAGGCTATGACAATAAACTTCGCCCAGATATAGGAGGTAAGTTTTTAGTTACCTTTCTGAGATTTGGGGACTATAAAGACCATATTTACTGGTGTTATTTTAATTTTAGATCACATATTTCTTGAGTGTCTGATGTATGTTAGAGTGCTGGGTTTGACAAGTATTAATTGGAATAGCACTAATTTGGGAGGTTCATAGTCTGATGTGAGAATAAAGGCATGTAAACTTTTCTGATGTAATTACTTTACAACTGCTACAATGAAAGATGCAACAGCAAAGTTTAATGAAACTATCTGAGGATTAGAGAGATATTTTATAAAAGAGAATATTTGAGAAATAGGAATTCTAATTTTGTGCCAAAGTCACACTGTGTTTTAATTAATGTAGAATTATAATCCTTGATATTATCCTATATAATAGAAGGATAATAAGCAAATTGTCCCCTCGACCGGGAGTTCGACCCGAGTTCAACCAGGGGGCGGGGTCGGCCCCCCAACTGCCCAGGGCCCCTCCCCCCGGCCGAACCCCACCCATGCACGAATTTGTGCACTGGGCCTCTAGTATTTAGTATAAGTAATCCTACGTTGTTCTACTTTAAGATTGCTATTCTAGGTCCTTTGCCTTTATATGTAAACTTTATAACATAATTAACTTCTAAGCCCCTCCACCAAATCCTTAAAACAAACAAAATATATAAAACAACAAATATTATTTTTGAGATTGCATTAAATATATGGACAATTATAGAGAAATTGAAATCTTTACTTTATTGAATTTTTATCATACCAAATTTATGAGCATTACATATTGTTCAATGTACATATTAATATTTTATTAATATTTCCTGTAAAGAAGTATTAAATATATTTTACTAGATTTAATTCTCTATGTTTGGAGTTTCAATGCAAGTGTAAATACATTGCATAAATACATTTCTGTTGATATCAGAAAGCCAGGATATATCACTCATATCTAAAACTTTCTACACTGTAATTGTGAAAAGTATGTCCTACATATAAAAATGTCCTCAGGAATCATTAACTTCTTGGCATAGAACTATTCAGTCCTTAGTATCATGAAATAAAGAACAGGTAGTCAGTGTTTGTTGATTTATCAAATGAACTGAAAATATCTACTTAAGTAAGACTGGTATGTTGCACTTAATTGCTTATAAATGGTAAGGAATATACTGAGGAGTGAAACTAATAAACCTATTGCCTAGTTATTAATTGACTTTCATAAGAACCATTCTGTAAATCTAGCTATAATTCGCTTAATTGTATTATAGTTATTGGCTGCAATTCATAGCTAGTCAAAATAAATGGCAAGTGGTTAAAGCACCTCCTCTCAGAAGTCATTAGCCTAAGTTAAATTATAAAACCTTCTATAAATCATATGAGCTACTTTTATTTAAGAAATCTAATTGTTGGATAGCAAATCAAATTACACTGTCATGTATAGGTCTGTGAACCTATAGTTTTGTACTGAAACTATTTCTAACAAATCATTTCTTTTTCTAGCTAAGAAATATGTATGCCACAAAATAAATTCTTTGCTAGACAAAAAACAATTTAAATGTTATGGATTTGTAAGTGTAGTGTTTTTTTTTAATTGCAGAGGGAAAGATTAAATGTTGTTATATAATTGTACAGGCTCTGTGTTTCAAAATGCTTCAGGTTTCCCACTGAAGCTTGCTAGCCTGGGAGACATGAAACTGAACAGAGACTCAGACAGGCAGACTCAGCCAAGTATTAGAGGAGGAGGAGCATCCTGCAGGGGGAACATAGAATCTGAATTGTAAGAGTGGTAAATACTAGGCCAGGAAGAGAAATCAAAATTTAGAAAGGAGAACTGAGTAAATATTACCAAAAACGTGCTACCTTAGAAACATTTATACTACAAGTTGTGTTTTTCTGCTTTATTTAATTTGCACTATCCTATATAATAAAAGGGTAATATGCAAATTGACCCTAACTGAAGAACTACTGGGAACAAATGGTCACTATTATGCGCACTGACTACAAGGGGGCACATGCTCCATGCAGGCGCTGCCCCCTGGTGGTCAGTGCGCTCCTACAGGGGGAGCTCTGCTCAGTCACAGGCTGGGCTAACAGCTGCGAGCACAGTGGTGGTGGTGGGAGCCCGAGAGCTCCTGGGCTGCCAGAGGTATGTCTGACTGCCAGCTTAGGCCCAATTCCCCTGGGAAGCAGGCCTAATCCAGCAAGTGGACATCCCCCAAAGGGTGGTGGACTGCAAGAGGGTGCAGGCTGGGCTGAGGGACCCCCCCTTCCCCCAAGTGCACAAATTTTTGTGCACCGGGCCTCTAGTCTCTTTATAAAACTCTGTGAGTTTTATATAGATTTTATAAAAATCTATATAAAATAGATTTTTTTAATCTACTTTGTGAAACTTTTACAGATATTCCTCAAGAAGCATTTGATATATCATAGAATAAACCATTTATATCATATTTTGTGAAGAAAGGGGGATAAAATAAATTATGTGAGAATGTTTCTCATAATAAACAAAAATCTTATGAATAGAAATTATCATTATCATTATTATGGTAAATCTCATTATAAGAACCAAAAATACCTGACAAATGTTGAAAGCCTAAATCATAATCAAATATGGCATGATTATGGATATACTTTAATCATATCATTTGATAGATCTTTATAATACTGACCTGTGCTACACATTTTGATAGAATATAAAATGCTGTATATACAACTTAAAGACATACTGAAAAAATGCAAATGGTTATATAAACATGAAGTTCATATAACATTCATAACATATACTCTGTGAGAATTAAGTAAAAATCTACTTTAAACTGGAGCCAACTATGAACAACCTACAGAAATATTGTTAACAACAAGGGAGGAACAGGGTAAGGAAAACAATAGGCTCTAAAATCCATGCAAATTCTAAAATTCTGTGACTGTTATAGAGAAAATTATCTAGCAATTTTTATTGAATTTACTTCCTTAGATTTAATAAATTATTTAGGTATTTTAAAACATTTTTAGGTTATGCACTAGGATGTTTTCAGTCAAAAATTGTTATAGAGAAAATTATCTAGCAATTTTTATTGAATTCACTTCCTTCGATTTAATAAATTATTTAGGTATTTTTAAAACATTTTTAGGTTGTGCACTAGGATGTTTTCAGTCAAAAACATACATTGTAAAATCAACTTGTAAACTGAAAGGTGTTTATGTTTCTGTAACATTTTGTGTTCCTTCATTTTCTAGTGAGGGATGCTTTATTATTTAAAAAATAAATAGTAATACTCATTTAGATTTTTATAACTAAGTTATATTTAATGAAACCTCTGATCATATCCTTGACCATTTCTTCTTTGATGTTTTACAGTGAGGCCCACAGTAATTGAAACTGATATTTATGTAAACAGCATTGGACCAGTTGATCCCATAAATATGGTGAGTAATGAACATTAAAAAAACAAAACTGTGGCATGGAATTCTTGAGTATATACCTCAGTAATGGAATGAACATGCAAGTATTTCTGATCATTAATTCTTAACCAGTTGAGGGCAATACCTCCAATTCCAATGTGCCAGGTATGAACAACTGGAGCTAAAATATTCCCATAGCTAAGAATGTGTAGCCCTTTACTTCAATGGTAGGAACTATGCTAGGGAAGAAAAGCTTATCATCTGAGCCATCGAGAGGGGATCCCTGAAGAAATCTGGGAGTAGATAACCAGAAGGACTGAGGGGAAAGCAGTCGGAGAAGGAAAGGAACTGACTGGCAGAGGACGGAGCAGGAACAGAGTCATAGACTAAAGCAGACTGATAAGATCAGGAGACTGTCCAGCAAATTGATAAGCCTGGAACATAAATGCAAGGAAAAGAATTAAAATAATGTTTAGATGCCTTACTAAGAATGGTCATGTAAGCCATAATAGGAAGTTTATGTATTATATGAATTATATCCCATTGGGTAAGAGAAATGACTGGAAGCTTTTCATCACGAGCATATTATAGGCAGATATAATATATATATAGTCCTCACTCAAGGATATGTTTATTGATTTTAGAGTGAGAGAATGGGAGAGAGGGAGAGAGAGAGAGAGAGAGAGAGAGAGAGAGAGAAACATTGACTGGTTGCCCTTCATAAGGGCCCAGATCAGAATGAACCCACAGCCTAAGTATGTCCTGACTAGGAATGGAATTTGCAGACTTTGTGTGTACAGATTGGCACTCCAACCAACTGCCAGGGCTACAGATTTATATTTTATATATTCTATACAAAAGCATAGAAGATGGATGTAAGGGGCCAAGCCAGCTTTAGAGTGACCAGTTAAGAGGTTCATGCATTAGTCTGGACAATAGATCATGAAGGCCTTACCTAGAGTAGTAGCAATTGAGCTGGAGAAGACACTAGTACATTTAAGAAATATTAGATGAGTGAACCTTTCAGAATTTAGAGGTTCATTGGTGGTGCATAGGCTGACTCCAAAGTATACAAATGAGTAGACTTTGCAGATGGTAGAGTTACTATTTAAAATACAGATGGAAGAAAGAGGAGCGCAAAAAAGGGACATATAAAAGTGAGAGGAGTAGGAGAAGAACCAGGAACAGATGATATTATGTAATCGGAAAAAATTAAAGAGCATGAAGAAGGAACTAATAATCAATTGTCAATGTACGTAAGAATCCAATGAAAAATGGATTAAATTGGGCCCACTGCTGTTGGCAGTTAGGTGGAACTGGTTATCTTTGCTAGATGAAAGTCCATGAAAAGATGAAGGTAGAAAATAAATAATAATTGAATTTTACATCCCTCCTCCATCCTCAAAATTGGTCCCATATCCCACTTCTTGTCACAGGTCCCTGTAGACATAATATGGGTTATAGGAATAGATAAGCAACATGTGTTGTTGGGTCCATAGTGGGAATGTAGTTTACTTTTATGATTTTGACATACTTCACTGAGAAGAGAATGTGATGAGTATGGTGGTAGATATGGGAGAGAGAGATGAAAGGAAAGAAAATAATAGAAAATTCAAAGGAAGGCCATTTAGGATGGAAAATGATAAAGTGTGTTATTTATGTTTTATCTTTATAAATTGAATGGATAGCATTTTATTACTGATTTAAAGACATAATTAACTCCTCCAATAGAACCCATCGACATTTTTAAAAAATTGTTAAAAGTGTTCTGCCCCAAACCCTAATAATCCCATTTCTGTGAGTCAAATTACTTCCTAGGACCCATTCAGTGGACTCAATAGTGTCTTATATTCATCTCCCTTGATTTTGTAATCTCTGTTAGTCTTTCAAGACACCAACAAACAAACAAACAAAACAAAACAAAACAAAAAACTACAGACTAGGTAGCTCAGACAACAGACATTTATTTTTTCCAGTTCTGAAACACAGTAGTCCAAATCAAGATTGTAGCAAGTTTAGTTTTTTAAAACGCTTTCTTCTTTGTTTTCAAATGTCTACCATCTTGCTGTGTCCTCACATGAACTATTCTCTCTGCAAGCACATACCTGGTGTCTCTTTGTGTGTCCGAATTTTATCTTCCAAAAGGACACCAGTCAGATTTGTTTAGGGCCCAGTCCAATAACCTTATTGTAATTTAATAACCCCCTTAAAGGACTTAGATCCATTCTGAAGTACTGAGGGTTAGGGATTCATATGAAATTTTTGTCAATACACTTCAGCCCATAACACCATCTGAATATAATTCTCTAAGATTTTGCTGATTTGCTCTATTATTTTACATATTCATTATTACAGCAGTCAAATTGTTTCTCTATTACAAGGATTTAACCACTTTATATCCACATAGTCATCATACCTAACAAGTGCCTGTGTCTGCTCATTCTCATGGTATTATAGTCAGGCTATGTTTTTGTTTTTTTCTTACTCAATATGATGTTCCTATGATTGTCATGAACTTTCACAGCTGCCTGCACTGACTGTTGTACTGACAGGATTGGGGCCACACCAGGACATCTTTGTTACCTCATTGCAAATGAATATGAATAGGCTGCGGAGAAGTTAAATTTGACAGTCTGAAATTAGAAACTAACTCTCAGGAAATGTTAGCACTGGAGCAAATATCTGTCAGTAATTAGCTAAATCCTGAGACATGGCGAAAACAATCTTGTAAAGAGAAAAAAAAAGAAATGAATATCAGACTTTAAGGAATATGTACATTTAAGGAATATGAACCTAATATGAGGCTGATGTAGTAAATAAAACAGCAAGGTTGGCAAGAAAATTAGGATAAAACAGTGGCAAATAAGCCAAGAAAAAAGAAAGTTTCAATGAAATTTTTAGTGTTAGCTCTGTTTAAATCGAATTCCTATACACCAGTTGACTATTGTAAAGACAAATCATTCTAAATATCTGTGTATATTATTTAACATTAT